ACGGAACAAGTCGCCATACATGTTCCAACCCCCAACCTGGAGGACCAAAAGACTGTGTTGGTCAAACCTCTAACCATTGACCAACCTGGTATAAGAGACTCTGTGAGTGTCGCGCGGACACCCCCCAGTATAGCTCAATGGGTCGCCGAGGTACCCAAACCGCCACACCACGATAAGGTCCAGTCTCTTCGTGACGGATTGGTGTGCAAATGAGACCATTTGTGATTAGTTGAGTATCATGTCGAAGATGACATCAGCAGGATTGACCAGCGTTCATTACGAACCTCGCCAGACATAAACCCAGCTCACAACGACAGGCAGTCGGGCTAGGAAACACACCGGGGGAATGGTTGCATGCCATTTTCTGTAGGATGTCCATCTACGTTCAAGCTGAGTTACTTGGTCTTCAGCTACAAATGGCGCGAAGATCTGAAAGTACCCAGAATAACTGCGGCTACTTTCATTTCACACCGCTATGTCAAGCCCTTTCACCAGCAATGGCTTCGAGCAGAAAACAACGGTACTTTGAGAACAGATGGTTGGGAAAAGTAATAAATATCCCAGTCACCTTATCTCGGCAAGTTTAATCAATTTGCTTCGCAGTATCTGCCTAAGAACCAGTTCTCTCCGTGTTTGCTGAAGTCAGCTGACACTTGGTATACTATGGAGACAGGCAATCTAGTCGGACAGGTAACCCAACAGTTGCCCTGTTTACACAGGCATTTAATTTCACTTTGAAGCCCTAAATGGTGCAAGTAGGCAGTCTGCCAGGATCGTGCACTGACTTCATCGGTTATGGTACAATCATGGTTTATGCAGCTGCCAAATAAGGTGAACCAACTAACAAACCCAAATTCTCCACTCTGGTCGTGAAGATCGTCAGTGTATGGGTTCAAATACTGCCAGACCACCCACAATAGAATAGGATGATCGGTGTCCTCAACCAAAGCCTTCGGTTTAAAAGCCTGACCTTAAAGCCAAAGTGAGCGCATCGTGAGGTCTCCAAAAGCTTGCCTACAAAAAGTAGTGTCCGACAAAGACGTCCAATCTCTCTGCATACTCGTTGGAATTCGTCAGGGATGAAATAATGAGGTGAATGTTGGAGGGTCTTTCAAACTCCGATGTTCAAGTCACTGAAATTGAGAACCCTGCCGGTCTGAAGTGCCCAGACGTTTCTCAGCCAGGCCGAGCACAAGCTCTGTTAAATGAACTGAATATCATCACAGCATCTTTCGGCGCGCACCATGTACATTCAAAGTGCAAAGTTCTTCCTCAGAATGTGCAGTCTCTGGACGTATCCCTCAAAATTCAAGGAGAATCGCTGGTTGTGGGGAATCCTACATACCTCGGCAGTTGTATTAGCTATGGCAGAAATTTGGCGGATGAGATCAGTGCAGGAATCTCAAAGGTCAGAATCACGCTTGCTAATTTGCGTCACTTGTGGCGTCAGAAAGACATATCACTGGATCTCAAGGGTCGTGTGTAACAGGCTACAGTAAAGCCTGTGTTATTGTATAGTTGCGAGATGGTCTCTGCGAACAGACGATGTGAGGTGCTCTCAGATTTTGACCACCAGTGCTTCAGAAGCGTTGCCGGTGTAGGATGGCGTCAACAAATTGGAAACGAGGCAATCAGAAAACGAGTGTTTGGCCGTGTAACAGGTGCTTCAATCGCGGAAAATATCCAGCATAATCAACTGCGGTGGCTCGATCATACGCTAAGCATTCCGAAACACCGGCTACCGAGACAAATGTTGTTCTCTCTGTCTCCTTTAGAATGGACAACGTATGACGTGGCAAGTGTGAAAGACATCATGAAGAGTTTGAGTGTTGTTGATGCGGCAAGCCTCCCAGGATACGGCCTTCCTACTGCGTTTGACTGGGAAATATTGGAGGAAATGGCGGTTGATCGATGCTGCAAGACAAGAGTGGCCTGCATGAGAATACATGAATAGCCAGATTTGTTCCAACCTTTAAACCAAATGGCCAGAAAATTATGTTCGCTGCGCCTCTACTCATAGACCGACGTAACAATAGATACTCCGTGGATACTGAATGGGCGTCCTCCAGCACAGCTCAGTGGGTTACTGCGGTACACTAAACGTCGCTCCAATTATATATATATATATATATATGGCCCAGAATCTCTACAACAGAAACCTCGAAGAGCCAAAACGCTTTTCCGAACCTCAACATCAAATTCGCACGAATTGAAATACCTCTAAAGCGGCTGGTCTGTAACTGACGGTGAATTACGCTGAGAAGCACGGTTTAGCTACTTTTTTGGGAGCCAAGAGCAATGTGCCCCCACAATCATCATCATCATCAAAGACAGCAACATCAGTGTTGCCACTGATGGTTAACTGGGATAAATTTCACATAACAGACAGTTCGATGGATGGAACATCATGCGCGATGTTCATTTTCCTGAATGGTTCCCAATAAAGGTTTTAATGTCTTATCTAGCGATTGTGCCCACATAAACACTCGGAGATCAAAAAAATGAGAAAACGTACAACCATAATGTTGACGTAATGCATGAAGTATTAGGACTCACAATGATAGGTATTGTCAAAGGAGGCGTATCGGGGGTTGCCGTCAAAGTCTCCTCGTGGACGGACGATTTCCAAAAGTTGGGAGATGACCTACTTTTGGCAAGGGGAACCGCAAGGTCGAAATGCAACATATTGTCTGGAAGTTAGAAGAGTAAGACCAGAAGTTGCAGGCTACGAATGACGTACCAGGGTTAAGAAAGAAAAATAATCAAGGTCCATGATCACGTGGGAAACAGGAACAGACGCAACATTTGGCACTGTCTCTAATTACTGTCTCTAAATTACATACAATATACACTACTAAGCAGCGAGTAGTAGGTGAAACGTACAAAGGACGAAGCTCGAGCGACTCAGAGATCGCTTCCACAGAAAACTTCGGACAAATGAGCTGCAAAACCTAAGCAGAGAAAGTGCTCGAAACAACTAGGTTCTGACTAATTATTTCGCTATCTCTGATGCAGCCCTCCGTAAAATGCTCCCAGTCCTCGAAAATCTATTTCAAACTGTCTCGGTTATGCAGTCTTATGATGTACACAAAATAACTTTGCGGTAATTCAGTCTCAACTTTAAAAACTCGACAGGCCACAAACAAAAAGCTGTTATTTATTTGAAATGAGTCCGACTAGCATTTAGATTCGTGGTCCGACAATTTCTATTTACTGGATTACACGTCACTATTCTCATCAGAATTGATAAAATAAGCTGACTAAAGGAAAATGTTGGTAGCTCAGATAGCGTAGATGGTCGTTGGCTTGTTCGCTGAGCTGGACAATTAGATTGCAGACGTTTAATCGCCACTCGAGGTGACACCATCAGTGCCAGAACCATTAGCCCACCGCTACGCACCACTACGCTCCCCAATAACGCACTGATGATGTCACCTCGAGTAGTGAAGAAACGTTTGCAATCAGATTGCCCAGCTCAGCGAACAAGCAAACGACCAAGCCGACTAAAGCTCACGAACGAAACAAAGATTTTGCAATTGTTAAAACAAATAATCGACTGACCTTGATGCTTCGATTTCAATTGTCTCCAGAGCCTATAGACGACATACAGAAGGAGGTGGTAGGATACAATCTCCATTACAGTTAGCTTCTCTTCAATATTCACAGGCACCATCAGAGTCACATACCAGAGTAGCGAAGTAACCACCATGATCCCGTACAAACATCTCGGACTACTATGAAAGCGACAAAGAGGAGTACTGTGAAGGGGACAATCAGAAAAAATAAGGTGGTGTTGTTACTTATGAGCCTACCAGTAGAGTCAAGTGCCCTTTATTCGACAAAAATAAACACGGCAGTGAGAAATCCGTCCGGTGGAAGGGTGAGCTATTCTGTTAAGTTCCTTTTACGCCATTGGACCAAGTATCCACAATCAAATGGGAAATGTTTTGGACCGATTGGGTAGCCATCGTTTCAGAGGTTTGGTAAACAATGGTGGATTTTTTGCTGGGCAACGTTTCTCTTTTGACATCTAAGAGTGGTAGGGAAGTAAAAACTACAATTTACCGGGAATCAACGGATAGCGATGTGGTCTTAGACTGCTCCTCAGCACACCCAAAAACAGTATAGGCTAGTATAGTTTCAACGATGTTTAAGAGAGTAAGAGCACTGTGCACAGAACAGGCCGGCCGAAGAGCAGCACAACTTGAAGTAAAAAAAGCGGCTTCAAGATACCGAATACACAGTGGGTTTGATTACGCGGCAATTAAGATGAGTATTGGTGCCAAGAACCAGAAACGAGTGGGTCAAAAAAGCAGTCATCCCAAGGAGAGCACGGACATTTGAAGTCATCAGAAAGGTGTCGAATGCGGCTAAAATTAGATTAGCATTCTAGAGGGGAAAAAGCGCTTGGTATTGGTGCAGCTAAAGGATCGCCTTTCAGTCGATACGACTAGGAACTGTCTATACAAAATAAAAGGTAGCGACTACACAAAGTTTTACATAGGTCAGACAGCCAAAGAATCGCACACCAGGACCAGTGAGCATAAGCGACCCATTAACAGGCCACCGAGAAACGTAGATGAACATCAGGCGATTGTCAAGGATTCGGCAATGGCAGGGCATGCACTATAGACCGGGCAAAGGATACATTTGGAAAATGTGAGTATCCTGAGACGGAGACTGAGATTCACACCACAGCGACTGGTGGCCGAGGTGGTATAAATCGCCAAGCATCCCAGCGTGAACAGAATAGAAGGAGTAGAACTAGCAAGCATAAGAACGGTTTTAGATCAACCCAGATAACACGAGGCGGCGCGCAGTGATCAGCAAAATGGTCTGACGAAGCTTTTCGGTCAAAAGCGAGACGTTGCCCGGCAATAAATCCCCCGATTGCCCACCAAGTCTCTCTGAAACGATGACCATAATCAGGCTCATAACGTACGGTGTAATAATTATATTATACATATTATATTATGTATATTATAATATGTATATTATATAATATATATAATATTAGGAAGTCCTGGCCACAGAACTTCCTGACAAAACCTCTATGATAATTATACGAAGTTGTCTAGCCTGTAGACTAAGAGTATCAAGCCCAAGTGCCCAAAGAAACATTCAACAACCAGCAAAAAACTTACAGTTCACATGGCACTTTATCTTCATGTCGATGAATTTTCGCATTACTGTCGGCCCAAGGCAAATTACTCT